AAAAAATTTGATTTGCAAACGGATCCGGCTGGTCATGATTCGCAATCGGATCGGATACGGAGCTCGCGAACGGACAGGATACGGATCAATCCGAATAATGTACTGCTATTTACTGAAAACGGTTCGCGTGCGGTCCGTATGCGGTTCCTATTTCAACTGCGCGCGAACGCGAAGCGTCCGTAACGGATTGTTCGCGAATCACCTGTGAATTTCCAATGAATTCAATTAACATATTCGATTTTTCAAATGAATTCAGAATTTTCAGAAATTCAAACATTCATTCTGAATATTCGAAGATTTGAAGATACAGGAATTCGAAAATTCAGATTCCCAGAAACATTAAAAAACATATTTTCGGAGTTTTTAGAATTAAAAACAAACTTTTCCAAAAATTAAAATCATGTATGAAATGTTAAGCTCAAAATTACAGAATCTCAGAGTTCAGAAACATAAGAATGAAAGATCGAATTCAAGATCTCATTATTCAGATTTTCAGAATGTCAAGTTCGAAAAATCCAAAATTTTGAGCTTGACAAGTTCGAAAACTTTTAAAAGTCTTCATAATTCATAACCCTAAATATTCGTCACACCCATTTTCTCAGAATCGTAAAACTCTTCTAGAAAACGTGTCACTAATCCTTGAATCCTCTTACTGCTCCTCAGACATCCACTTCTCTCTCCAGAAGAATCTATTTTTTCGACCTTTTTTCTATCTTGTGATGACGACGATAAAATAAACCTCATAGATCATCAAAAAGTCTCAGAATTCTAGACTCAAAAACACAGAAACAGAGACCACTTTGTTTCCTTTTCTGATTTCCGTAAAGCAACACATAGGAGAACAGAAGAACAGAACAATAGAACACGAATACTAAAAGGCAAGAGGCATTCCAAAATGTCACATTATCTTTTTTGGAGAATGGAAGAGGAAGGAACAAAATTTCTTTTGGAAAAACTGTCAAGAAACTTTTAGAGAGTACCGGAACTACAGTACAACAAACGGAACTAACGTACAACATGTAATAAAAGAGCCACCAACTTTGACACAATTTATCTCGGTTCCTGTAAAAGATATCAAAAAGTAATCCACTGATAAAATGTTTGCGATTATATGATAAACATTTTATCTTTTGACCAATTTTTGATATTTTTCACAAGAACCGAGATAAATTGGGTCAAAGTTGAAAAGCATCTGTGAAAAATTAAAAAAAAAAGAAATTTTTGAGGTTTCACCAAATTGCACTTTTCTCCATTTCTCTTTTTCAATTTTTTTAGAGGTGGTCCCGAATTTTCTGTTTTAGCGGGAATTCAAAAATATTTGAAGAACCTTCTCGAAGGTTACAGAAATAGAAGGGCTTTTAGATTATCTCATTTTTCAAATTTGAATTTTTAGAAATCATTCTAGAAGTCTGGTTTTGTACCTTGAACAGAAATAAAGCCTAATTTTCCCAGAAACTGTGTGAAACAAGACATAAAAATAGATAAAACCTGGAAATTTTGGTTTCTAAACAAAGAAACTGTAGAAATGTTTAAACTAACCCTAACAGAGCACAGGAAATACAAAAAAAAACACCCAAAAATGTTCAAAACGGTTTATCTATATTTATATTTACATGTGAATGCAAAAAATGAAACATTACATTCTTCCTCTAAACACATATTTTTCTCTTTCTCTCCTATTTCCTATTTGTTTCATTTCTCTCAAAAAAAAGAAACCGAAAAGAGGACCCAATTTTACTAATGGTAGTGTGGTACACAGAAAACACAAAAAAGGACAAAAATGAAGAATTTTGGGGAGATAGAGAATCAGATGGAAAAAAGGGGAAAGAACACTGGAAATTTGAAATAAGAATATTCCAAAGCTCTTTTGGATGTCATTAATAAAAATTAGTGGGGTGTGAGGAATTAGAAATTGAAAAAATTGAACTTTCAAAAAATTTCAAAATTTAGATGGATGGTTTTTTGGATTTCGAAGAAATATTTGTATTTAAAAACTTTGGATGTGAAAAAATCGAATTCCATAGAAAGTTCCTCGGACAACTAGAGCCGGAATTCAACAAGAAAATACCAGTTTCTGGCTGTGAAATGAGCCAGAAGGCCCCCTTTCAAATCCGAAAATTTCTAAAAGTTTGTTTATCCCAAAACTGTTCAAATCCAAAACAACTAACTAGAGCCAGAACTTGAGCGTAAAACACAAGAAAAACCACTTGTTTTGGCAAAATTGTTCGCTTCGACGACTTTTATTAAATTTTCACAAATTTTGATAAAAATATCGAAGAAACTTTATAATAGCAAAATATGCGAATACCTCTAATAGAAGGTCATCTTTGACGAAAGTTATTTCGTTCCAGTGAGATGTATCAAAAAACAACGCCCAACTGATAAAAAATTTCTGATATAATGATTAACATTTTGTCAGTTGACTACTTTCGATATCTTTCTCAATAAACGAGAAAAATCTGCTCAAAATTGGAGAGAACATTATATTTCAAGAATAATAAATAATTAAAAATTGAATTTTTGATTTTTTCAAAACATTTGTGCAAAGCGATTTGGATAAATTCATAAACAGAAACAGAAAGATCCCAAAAATCGATTCCAAAAATCACTCAATTCTCCTCCCCCTACGCAATCAAATGATTCATTGAGGGGAAATAAATTGAGAGACAGAGAGCCACTCGTTAAAATGTCTTTTTTCCTGTGTGTATCTTTTCTTGGGGCTCCTGGAGACTAACCCCGGAATGAAATTGATGATCGTCTTCTCCTTCAGAATCCCAAGAAACACATGGCTGACCTTTTCTTTTTGCCCCGTGTTTAGATTTTCAAATATCTTCTAGACGAAAAAAAAAGATGAGTAGGTGAGAATTTGATTGGGCTGTCTGAAGAAGCGTTCATCGGAACTTTTCGGCAAAACATCAAAGAATAAGTGGGTCATTTAATGTGATTCAGAAGTCTCGATGAGAAACAAGAATTGTAGTCTTGGAGAAAAAAAGAAGAAACAAATATTTTTGTTTTTCTCTCTGCTGGCTGGAAACTGATACATACCACTTGTATGGGTGGGTTGGTTTGGTACTTGAGGGGAAAAGCTCAGAAAATGCTAAGCAGAACCTCATGACTTATAAAAGTCATGTAAAGTGTTATTATGCGCATACCACTTCGAATCAAATTTCAAATAGAAATGCAAAGTATTTTAAAAATTTGGTTATGAGGGAAATTAGGAATATCGTAGGAAAGTTAGAAAATAATGACTGTCAACTTAGAGCTAATTTTTCTCGGTTACTATAAGAGGTATCAAAAATTTGTTAACTAATAAAATGTTAGTCATATTATGATAAACATTTTGTTAGTTGACACTTTTTTATATCTTTAACCTGTAACGAGATAATAGAGCTTAAATTATAAGTATAGAAGTGGAGTTCTATCGGAGGAAATATGGTGCCTCCTTTGACCTAGTTTATCTCGGTTCCTGTAAAAGATATCAAAAAGTTGTCAACTAACAAAATGTTTCTGAAATTATTATAAACATTTTATCAGTTAAAAACTTTTTCATCCCTCTCTAGGGAAATGAGATATTTGGGTTCAAAGTTAACGGGAAATTCTATTAGTGTCTACGGAACCTTTTCAGTTTCAGAAAAATCATATTCTTTGAATTCAATTTTCAGACTCTTTCATTTTTGGGTTTTTAACATGAATTTATGACAAACCCCAACTAAAATTTTTAAAACAAAAAGTTCGGAAACATCAAAAAGCAAAAGAATTTTAAACATTTTTATCTTCGATATTGTAGTTCGTTAATCTACAGTAATCCCTGCAAAAAACTTTTCCTAGCTTTTCTAGTTCTCTACAAGTTCCTAAAAGTTCCTAAAAATCGACGTAAGAAACTTTTTTCACCACAATTCCATTTTTTGGAACCACCCGGAAAAAAGTGGTTTCTAGAACTACGGAAATATTTCAAATTTAATTCCTTCTTCTAATCCTCCTGTAGAAAAAAATTTTAAAAAGTAGTAAAAGATAGAATTTTCTAGAAAAGACACAGTAGTCAAATAGGAAGAAAAAAATGTCGACGTTTATTGAGTTCTTATCAGGTGCAAAATTAGATCAGTTCGAGTTAATCGGTTCAATTTGCGAGAAAAAATGTTGATTCGTAAACATGTTTTTTTCTGGAAATATGTTTATCTGGAAAAAGAAATTCCTGAATTTCGAGAAAAAATTGTCGTGTATTCTCACCTTTAAAACAATATTTATTTTTTTTTTTTTGATAGAAATAAGCCTCAACTCTTGATTACAACTCTTGAATACAATACAATACAATTTGGGCAAGGGAATTTTCTAATTAAATATTTAAGGATTTCAAACAATTTGGGAATTTATTTGTTTTTTTTTTCGAAAAATTATATATTTGAACACCAGAAGCCCAAAAAAACCCAGAAAAAAGACAAATTGGTCAGTCAGCTGCAAAGTCAAACAAATAGAATGACACTTTAATTGGGTTATCACTGAAATTACTAAACGAGCAGAGAGAGTATAGGTTTCGAAGAGACGCAGACATTTTTATTGTGTCAGTTGGCTCTCGAATGTTTTTCAGAGTGATGATGATAAAACTTTTTTATTTCTTCGGCAAAGAAAATTGAAGAGAGAAAAAGAGAGGGGGAAGATGTACTAAAAATGAAAGATGAGTCGAAATTTCCAATTTCCTGTTGGAATTTCTAAAAATTATGAAGTTTTTGAAATCTGAGAAATCGAGGAAATTGGAACTTTTGGGAAGTTGTGCAATACGGTATTTTTGGGGGGTGAAAAGAGCAAATTTTTATTTTGGATATGGCAAAAAAAGGGAACAAAAATAGAAAGATAGCCCTTGGGAAAACTGTTTGGGGTTGTGAAGAAAAAAAAGTTTCGGAACATCAAACTTTTCGGAGATTCTTATCTTTTTTTGAAAAATGGAGTTTCAAAAAACAGATATTATATAATCTTACAGCGATTCAACCTATTTTTAGAATAGTTCAAAATTCAGAAATTTCTAAATTTTCATAAATATTCAAAAAGACAGAATCTCAAAATTGTGAATTTCCAAAAAGAATCAAAACACAATATGACTAAAAAACTTATCTTTAAAAAGTTCAGAAAAAAAAACACAGATTCTCAAAAACTCAGAAAAATTCCCAAAAAGTCCTTCAACCTAAAAATGTCCTAGAACATTTTTCTAGTAACCTGAGCACCAAAATTTTGTACTTTGTAGTCTTTTTTGTGTTCATATGAACTCTTGAAACCTAAATCCAAGAAAAGAAACGAGACATACTATTGAAAAAGAAATAAGATACTTTTTTGGGATTACCTCCAAAAAAAATCTGGATGAACTTTTTCTAAGAAACTACAAAAAACCAGAAGACTACATGGGAAAATGTGGTCCAAAAAATAATTTCAAATTAAACAGTTCCGCTTTTCTAAGGTGATTTTGAACATTTTTGAGCCACTGAACTACCGTATCTGCTATAATAGAATTCCGCCCTGTATGTGCACTTTGAGCTCAATTATCTCGGTTCCTATCTGAGATATCAAATTTTGGACAACTGATAAAATGTTGGTGATAATATGCTTAACATTGTATCAGTTGACCGTATTTCAGTACCTATCTCAGGGTGCCGAGATAAATTGAGCTAACTGTTTATGTTTTGCTCTTCTCTTATGACCTTAACCATAAGAATTTTTCCAATCTCTAAAGTCTTGAAAACCTTGGAATCAAAAAGTCTAATTCTCTAATCACCAAACTACAAGATCAAAAAGCAGAAGACGTGAGATTTTGAGATTTGGATGCCACCACCAAATATTCATCGTTTTCCGTAGGAGGCTGAAACCGGAAAAGTCTCTCTGAATTCATATTTGTTTGTCCTAGATTTCTCATGTTTCATCTCTTGTGGTATGCCCCTGCCGCCCGTTTTTGGAAATTACAAATTTTTGCTTCTGGATGAGAGAGAGAGAGAGAGAGAGAGAGAGCGAGAGAGAGAGAGAGAGAGAGGGGAGGGGGGATACAAAAATGCAGATGACATGATGACTTCTGGAAAGCAAAAAAAATGGGATGTGGAGAATTTTTGGTAGTATAATTGTAATAGAGATTGCTAAAAAGAATTTTTGAAAGCAATTTTTGTAATTAAAAATCTTACAGAAACTCGACAAAATCAAAATTTTAGAATCGGAAAATCTGAGAATATCTTTTAATACGATTTCAAAGACCACCTGTACAAAACGAAAATCTTTTGAAATCAAGAGATCTCCCGCTGTGTATTTGTTTACACATAACAATCCTAGTTTTTCGATTTTGCCTTCTTTGAGGTCAAACTATTTATTCTCATTTTTGAGTTTGAATTTGAGTTATTGCTCATATTTGAAAAAAAGAGTTTCAAAATTCTGTTTGAAATTGACATTTCTTTGAAAACATCATTCAAAATGAGATACCATAAAGTCTATAATAGAAAACCGCTAATTGTCTTAAAGTCACTTTTTCTCGGCTCCTGGCAAAGATATGGAAAGCCCGTCAACGGAAAAAAAAACGTTAAGCATAATATCAAAAATATTTTGTCAGTTGAACATTGTTGGATTCATCCTACAGTAACCGAGATATACTCAGTCTAAGTTGACGGTAGGTTCTAAAATCCCAAAAAAGTTGACGGTAGGTTCTAAAATCCCAAAAAATCAAATCGAGATCCAAAAATACCCGCATCACTATTCAAGAACTGAAGCTTCTCCGATATCGATTTCTGTTTGTCATTGGCTGAAAGGTCATAGACAAAACTTCTTCGGAAGCGTGGGACTTTTCACTCACTTGAAAGATCAATCTACACATAAAACAACTTTTGATCTACACATTTTTTTGATCTGAAGATATTTGACCTACTTTTTTCACTAGAATGACGTTATCCATGTTTTTGAGCTACTTTTTTTTGTTGAAAATCTTTTGCAATATTGAGTTACTTTTTTTGAAACAAGTTGATCTTTGAAAAATTAAAAAAAAAGGCTTTGGCAGATCAAAATATGAAAAAAAAAGAACAAAATTATTAGGGACCGCACAAACCACAAGAATTGCTCAGCTTCCGGAAATCATGAAAAAATTTGAACTCCCAAAGAAAACGAAAAGTTTGAAGGCGTGACGACGGCGTCTTCTAAAGAAATAGGTAGACATGGAAAAAGTTAGGAATAGAATGAAAAGGAGGAGGGCAATAAGAATTGATGTGATTTAAGGGGAAAAGAGAGGGAAATGAATGGGGGATGGAAATAGAAAAAGAAGGATCACATGTCAGTTACTGTTTTTTTTTTCGGAATACCAAAAGAGAGACCAGACGCATTCTGAGAATTCGCGGAAGATGTTCTGAAAACTGGTAACGAAACGGAAAAAAGAGGAAGAAGAAGTGACAGTTCAGAACAAACCGCCTACGCTGTCATAAATTATTTGAATAGATAAAAAATAATTTTTTTATAGTAATTTTTGCTCCGAAGTAAAAAATGAAAAACAGGACCTGTTTCACAGATTTGAAAAGTGAAAATTCAATAATTAATTAAACGTGATAAAAAACTTTAGTTAAACGTGATCGAAAACAAAATCCACGTGGCAAAAAAGTTTTGAAAAAAAAAAGTGATTTAAAACCAAAAATGCTACGTAGAAACCCACGACCCTTGATGCCCCATTGACCTCAGGAGGAGTACTATAAAGAAAGAGGACAGTGGAGGGAAACATCAGTTCTCCCTTCACTGGGCTCCAGAGAATCGAAGCTCGAGAAGGGTCCTGGGTCCTGGGTCTTTGAGGTATATACGTGGCGCTGTCCATGGTGCAACGACTGGGAATCGAACCCGAGGAATCTTCCGTGTGGCAGATTTTAACATTGAACCACCGATGTCGGAGCTGGAACCAGGAGCCAGGAGCATATTGTGGAAAATGAACTGGATCAGGAGCAAGGTCAAAAGCTGGTAGAGGATCTAGAAACGAGCTTTGTGTTCTTGAGAAATCTGCTGTCAAGTACAAGACAATTTTTTCAATGCCTGGAACTGAAATCAGACAATTCATGAAGTGCGATGATCCACGAGAAACGGGACCATTTGGAGCGCTTCTGATGGTTCAGACTGAAAATAAGAAGAAAATTAGTTATTGATCTTACTATTTCTTTTTATACTGGATTAATTAAATGGTGAATCATTTGCTACGTTTTTTTGTGATTTTCATAAGAGATATCAACAAAAAAGTTAAGTTTACCACTTTTAAAATACCTTTCAGGAAAACAGAAAAACGGCTCAAAGTTGACAGTTCGAGGTGCCCTGCTATTGCAGGTTTTACGATGAGTTCGCAAAATTTATTGGGAACGGAAACTGACTTTCCAGCTCTTTCAGATGATAGAAAACTGTTCAAAACGAGTTAATCATATGAGACAATCATAGGAAACTAGTTTTTAAGAACATACATTTTTGGTTCGACAACGAAAAATCTGAAAACAATCAGTTTTCAAACCCATTTTTTGCGGTTCTTTTGATTCAAAAGATTCCCTCGCTCGATGACAAAAAACCCCTTCTTTTTATTTGATCTAGAATAGTTCTAGAACCCTTTACAAAAATACATGTTGACGAATACAAACTACCATTGTTTGGGTAAAAACAACAAACACCTTGGAAATTATTATTGTCCACAACAAGTTTTGAATTTTTAGAATTTTCAGATGTTCGAAAAATTCCAAATTCTAGGCTAAACTAATTTTCACATCCATTCAGTGAAAAAAAGCTGAAAAAACAATATTATTTGATATTTATTGTCTTTTTTGTCTAAAGAGACATCTCAAGGCGAAACGCAAATATTATGAGGAAATGACAAAGATGTTTATTTCTTTTAAAAGAGAAAAAATAAAAGAAAAGACTATATCTTTTTCAGCAGAGATCTGTTGAAAGCATTATACACACGAAAATCAAAGAAAAAACTTATAAAGTTTCACAATTGTACAATTTTCTAACAAATTGGATATGAAGAATTCGAAATTGATATGTTTTCGGGGAAAGTGTTGAGAGAGAACACGAAATAAGTCCAGGTATTCATGTTCAATGAGGTGATTATAATACATGCAACATTGAGGATAAATCCACACATTATCTGGAAAAATTATTATAGATTTTCTGTAATAGGAATTTTTAGAAATTACAAAAAATATGTGGCCTGACCTTATAGGCTCACTTCAAGCACAATTATCACGGTTCCTTCAAAAAATATCGAAAGTTCGTCAACTAATAAAATGTTTATCATATTATCTCTAACATTTTATCAGTTGACAAAAATTTTGATTTCATTCACAGGAATCGAGATGATTGTCCCCCAAAGTACATTTATAGGGTGGGCTTCATTTTTTTTATGCAAAAAAAATTCTTACCATTTCAAGCATCGAAATCACTTTCGTATCATATACAATCGCATTTGGTGGTGTTGAAATCGGAAGCATGAATGCAAATGAGCAAGCTACCGTAGTCGGAAGAGCCAGATACAATGGATGGACTCCCATGGACTCGGCCTGTAATTGTTACCTAATTTTGAGCCGAGATATCTCGCTTCTCATGAGAGATATAATTACAACTATCGAAATGTGTATAATTTTATGAAAAACATTTTGTCAGTTGACCATTTTTTGATTTCTGTTACAGTAATCAAGATAGTTATGATCAAAATGACTCGAACAATGAGAAATGGTACCTTTCCCCCTAATTTTTAATTCCAAGCCAATTTCTTGGTTCCTGTGGCAGATATCAAAAAAAAAATAGCAGATAACTTTTTGATATTTTCTACAGGAACCGAGAAAATCAAAGTTGACGTTTACGGAGACTCTATTAGAGTGTTTACGGCAGTTACATTGATTCCAATTATCTCTATTCCTGTAAAAGAAATCAAAAATATGTCTACTGATAAAAAATTAGTGATAATATAATGAATAGTTTATTGGTTGACGAATTTCTGATATCTTTTACAGGAATTGAGATAATTGAGCTCAAACATAGAAACAAGGTAGGGAACCGCTTCTCCTTTTCCTTACAGTTGGCTTGACCTTAATTATCTCATGAAAGATATCAGAAGTTTGTCAACTGATAAATTATTTATCACAATATCACCAAAATTTTATCAGTTGACAATTTTTTAATATCTCAGGAATCAAGATAACTAATTTCAATTATTATTTTACCAACTCACCACTCCAAGAGCGATTGGAATAAAAATACTTCCAGTTGACACATTGCTGGCAAACTCGGTCATGATAACAATTGCCGTGGTTACGGTCACTAAAATTAATTTTTTTGGAAATACCATAAAATTCAATGACTCACATTGCAATGGAAGAGAGCTCATACCCACAAAAATCTTTCGCATTTCACAAGAAATTAGTTTCGACAGTCCGGATTTCTGAAGAAAAAAAAGGCTCAAGATTTTCAAAATAAATGCTACCACTCACATCAACTCCCTCTGAAATCGCATATCCAGCTCCGATCAACAGGGTGCAGGACCACGAGAATTTATTCTTCATATCGATCCATTTTAGAATTGGAGCTGTTGGATCAATGGGGTCGAATGGGTTTTTAGGCCAAACGAAAAGAAGACAAGCTATCAGGATTCCAGAAACACTATCTGATAGATAATTCCGATGTGGAAGCAAATCTCCCCATCCGGAAGTGAATCCTGGATCGCGAGAAATCCACGAGCCAATTAGAATAACGAAAAATGTAAAGACCGATTTTTCTCCCCATCTGAAAATACTTAATTTTTGATTTGTTCTATTATTTTAACACTTACGAAATATCTCCCAAATCTTCATACATTGACTGAATATTCTTTTCAACTACCTTTTTCATATGCGCCTCCTCTTTGGATGGCTTCTCGAACCATCGGACCAAAGTGGATGGTCCCATGAAGTAGCACTAAAACATCAGAAATTATGGGGTTAATATTTTTGATTGTGGATCGAAACTCACCACTAAGACTACATAAGATGCCAAAAGATAAATAAACATTGGTGGGATGGCAAAGACCATCCATTGTAGGTAGGTCATTGAGACTTGGCCTTCTGGGTAGCGTCTGGAAAATGTAAAAATTGAGAAGTGTGGAGGTGTGAAACATGATTTTCTCAAAAATGCCGTTCATTTACAGTACCGATCAGTAAGATACCGTAAAACCTGTACTCCTGTAATAGAAGGGCTCGCTTAAAATGTTTTGTTTGAGATTATAAATTTCCATGTGTTTTAAGGGAAAAACAGTCCAATCTCACAATTTCACAGAAATTTTTTTGAAACACTTCATTTTGTTGAAAAGTGGCTTGCGGTGAAATTTACAGATTCTAATGGCTTTAAAGCAAAAATGGACCAAATTTTTTCATGAAAATTTTTGGAAGATATGACCGGAAAAATAGAAGGACCCCTCTCTAATTGAAGGGCCCTGTAATAGACAGGCCCTCTGGAAATACCTTGGAACAATAAGTTTTACGGTATACAAAAAATATTATGGTTGATTTTCGGCCAGATGCTCGAATGTCAAGTTCCCGAACACTTTGAAATTTTTGGAGGGTAGAAAACAGACCTAAACGGAAAGCTTTGCATTTCAAAATTCCTAGATTTTCAGCTATCTGCCGATTTCTGAGACACACTCCTTTTCGGCGCGTTTTGTACTGAAAAAAACAAGTGTCTTTGACAAATTGGCAAATAGCTGGAAAACTGGGAATTTTCAAAAAATTCTGTGAATGCAAAGTTTTCAATCTAGGTCTGTTTTACACCCTCCAAAAATTTCAAAGTGAACGGAAACTTGACAGCCGAGCTCCAGACTCATGAAGAAAATAGTCAAAATGACAGGAAATAAATACGTTTTTGTATATTTTATTTACCGATACTGTACTTTCAAAAACCACTCACTTATTAATATTCTCCCGAAAAACCAAATTCGGTCCTGTCGATGTTATAATCGCCGTTCCACCGATCAACGAAGCATGTGCACATGCCAAAATCAACGCTTTACAAAATCCCGAATCCTGTGGACTCATATCGTCCATTCTTAATTTCTCAGCTACAGTAGCATCATCTGCCACGGGTTTCTTCTTGTTATCTCCTTCTTTCAAATGATGCACCGCATCTGACATACTCATCAGAAGAGCCACTGCGGTAGGACACATCAGGGCAGTGCAAGCTGTGTCAGAGACAAAAAAGGAGCTGAAAATAATACGCAATTGTCGTAGGGTAAGGTAGTAAACTCACATGAAGCTAGTGATGCACATGAAGCCAAGAAGCATTCTGTAAAACTGAAAGTGGGATGGGTTCTTTTTTAAAGCCATGGTCTGTAAATCAATTAAAAATTCAGCCTTACATGGGTTGCTTGGCTCCAACTTTTGTCAAAAGCTTTAATGCAATTCTTCGATGTAATCCAGTTGCTTCAACTGCCATCGCCATGATCAAAGTGCACATAAATAATACAATTGAGTCCTGAAAATGAAATATTTGGAAAATTCATCCTGATAACGCCGTAGAAGAGCCAACCTTGAAATAAACAGGACTAATCTGTTTGGATGGAACGATTTGAAGAATTGGATAAAGAGCCAACGGGAAGAGTGATGTGATACCGATTGGGAAAGCTTCTCCAATCCAATATATTGATAAGAAGATTATTGAAAATAGACATCTGTATTCCTGAAAAAATGAAATTCTTGTTTGGAAGTTCGAATTTTGCTGAAATTTCTATCCTTTTTAATTTTCTCGGAGTTTGAGTCCTTATGGAATTGAAATTTTATCGAATTCATGAAACTTTGAAATTTAGGAATTTAGGAACTTCGGAGTTTCTGAATTTTCAAATTTCGGAATTCTATGGAATTCAATGAAATTCGGAAACTTCGGAGCTACGGAATTTTGGAATTTTGGAGTTTTGGAATTCAGAATGTCTACAGTAATCCTTACCGGTCCAAAAAACAAAAGCGGAACAGCTACGAATGGACCCAGAAGAACCAGAATCTTCTGAATCAGAAGACGTTGCGTGGCGTTTTTAGGCTGCATACCTTCGTCTGATGTCTCTGAAATCGTTGTAATAGAACGAATTAGATAAGATCCAATTTTTTGCGAACAAAGGAAAAGAAGAAGAGAACTTGTCACTTTCAATCTGATCTCACAGAAAAATCAAGTATTTTATATGATAAAAAAGTCTTAAAACTTCCTCACCTCGAAATGTACACAGAGGAGTGACAGAGTTAGTTTTTGGTGTTATTTTTTGAGTATTGAAATGCAAATGACATACATTGTTCAGTACTTTTTTGTCAGGTGACAATGTATTGTATGGATTTTAAAATGAAGTTTGGTTTTAGTTGTCATTCATTGAACAGGGAGTATGAAAATGGGCTCTATTTGGATTCCGAGCAGAACAGAACCGTCCACTTTGAGCCTAAATATCTCGGTTCCTGTAAAAGATATCAACAAGTGGTCAATTGACAAAATGTTAATCATAAGATCAAAAACATTTTTTTAGTTTTCAAAATTTTTATATCTTTATTAGAAACTGAGATAAACTGGCTCAAAAAGTTAGTAGGATTATATTAGAGTGGTTACGGTATTTTCAATTTTTTCTAGAAAGTTTATTTTAAAAAATGGAAAATCGTTTGGTAAAGACAAACAAAATTCAGAAAAGCAGGCAAAAATAACTACGAAAAATAACTTGAGAGATTTTAAGATTTTAAGATTTGAGCGATTGGAAAATCACTCCCAATTTTATGTAGCTTGACTTTACAAATATCTTAATTCCGGAATTAAAAAGAAATCGAAATAAAAAAATTTAAATCATAAGATTCCTGAAATTGCGTCAATATGAAATTTAGGATATAAATCAGAGAAACCAAGATAATTAGGGTTAAATGGATACGGTAGCAAACAATTATTATTCAATAGAGCGCATTAACGATACCTTCCGTGCTAGCGTTCTCCCTAGACTGAAACGAACAGAAACTGAAACTGAATATTCTTTTCTCTTTCTCTCTCTCATTCAATTTGTTCCCCGAACAAAGATTTCAAAGACAGATAAATGTCCAGTTTTTGTGATCTTGGGACATGAAGCATAAGAAATGAAAATGCCTTAATATAGTCGCAAGAGAAAACACTTGAAAATGAAAAAGAGCAGCACAGGAAGACACGATTTTGATAAATCAAAACATTTGATTGACAAACAAAAGGAGACAAGAGAGAGATAATGGAGATATGGAAACCAAAGGGTCAAGTTTTGTGCAAAGTCTGGGAGACAAAGAGAAAAAGAGAGGGGATAAATATTGTGAGTGTTTTGATGGGTTTTGCAAATATTTTTGTTTTTGGGTAAGTTTACTGTCAATAACTGGTCGGTTTACTTCCTGCATCAATGAAAAGGATTAGGCTTAAATTCGGATTCGAAATATTCCAGTTCAACGATAAGCCCTAATGTTGAAAATCGCTGTTTTCAATGTTTCTTTCTCCAGAAAAAAAGACAATTTGATCTTCGGGAAAACGTTCACATCATGAATTACCCTTTTATTTTACGAACCAGGAAAAATCAGACAGCTATCTTATTTACCGTTTTCCGGCAAAAACTATTATTGGGGTGATTGACTTACGAAATCTACAATTTTGGGTATCAAAATTCTTTCATTTTGTTTTTCGTCGGAAATTTTGTGCTCCCGGGATTGTTGTAACCTCCGCATTATTTGCTATTTTCCTGTTACTAACATTTCTAGAGTTAAACTGACGTTTGAGCTTAAAAGCTGAGTTTTATAGGCAATGAAAACGGTAATTTCGTGATTAATTTACAAACTCTCTTGCATAGATATCTTATAGATTATCTATCCAAAATATGAGATTTTCTAAAATCGAGAATTATGAAAGATTAACTTTTTTTTTTAAATTTCTGAACAAAAATAGACCTTCGGTTTCATAGTCGACTTTTTTGATAGAAATTCATCTGGACCGAATATTTTTCGAAACCGAAAAAATTGCAAAAAAAAATAACCGTATTCCCTCAAATTAAATCCCATCCAAACTGTATTGCTTATAGAGGCTAGATACCAGGGATGTTCGGAATGGCCTTTTTCGGAATTTCGCAAAATCCGATTTAAAAAATTTCGGAATTTCGGAAATTCGGAATTTTCCGATTTTCAAAAATTCGGAATTTCGGAATATTCCTGTTTTAAAATTTTCTGAATTTTTTAAATTTCGATTTTTACAGCGGAAATTTCATTTTCCCATCACAAAAACGCAAGAATCATTCGAAAATTGACAGAAAGATTTCGACAGCGAAAAAAAAAATTTCAAAAGTGATTCTGTTCGAGACCCGCAGGTAAATTTTTCCTGGCATACTGTAGTCGAAAAATTTTAATTCCGAAAAAAAGCTTTGGAAAAATTCAGGTCGGAATTTCATTCCGAAAAAAAAGCTTCGGAAATATTCCGACCGGAATTTCATTCCGAATTTTTTTTCTCGGAATTATTCCGTTCGGAATTTCATTCCGAAAATGGTCGGAATTTTCGGAATTCGGAATTCCGTTCCGAACATCCCTGGTTTTCGAGAGACGCAGGCACAAACACAGGTAAAAACCTCTAGCAGGGGGTTGTTTACTTGTTTACTGAATAAGCGATACAGGTGAAATGCCTGGTTTTTTACCGGTATTTTACCTAGCTGAATAACCCCATAAGCGGGGAAGTGCAAAGGTTCAAAGTACGGTTTTGCAGAAAAAGATAGGAAGATCAGTTGATAACATGTTAACTGATTACTAATCGCGTCCTGTGCGCGACACGGACCACCAACTTTGAGCTCAATTATCTCAATTACTTTAGTAGATATCAAAAAGTGGTCAACGGATAAATTATTGACTATAACATCACCAACATTTTATCAGTTAACAAAATTTTTATATCTTTCACAGGAATCGAGATAAATTAGGTCAAAGTTGACGGTTAGGGTGGGCTAATTTTATAAAAAAATATGGTAACCTACTTCAAAGCGTAATAGAAGCTCACATCTAATAGAAGCCCACCTCTATTTAAAGCCCACCTCTACTCACGTAATTTTGGGGGAAGGATTGAGCCCTATCTGGAGCGAAGTGGGAGATACCTGTGAATTTTGGGGATTACCCAGTCCAAATGGGAGTGATGGGAGCTATATGGGGGCAAAATGGGAGCTATATGGGGGCAAAACGGGGAATACTGTATAATAGAAACTAATTATAACAGAAGCTCACCCTGGCTGTGCAGTTTTCTTTTTGGTCATCGCAGACATATTATTATTTGTTTGATTTTCTGATAATTTCAGTTAATTCTTATCATTTTTAGATATTCATGTTCATTTAAAAACCGAAAACCTTCTAATTCAAGCCCTTTCTCTAATAGAAGGACATCCCGAAGAGGAGGTTGAAAAACAGAATCCCATGAGCCTCTATTAGAGGAAATACGGTATCTCCTTTCGATTAATCTGTTCAAAAAAGTCTTCTAAATACTATTTTCTTGATTGACATTTTTCTTAATTTTCAAATCTATCGAACAAATTCTAATAACATTTGTAAATCCCCAAATAAAGATGTTCAATTGGTATAGAACGGTGCCCAAAGAAAAGGTAAAGGACAGTCGAAAAAAGTCCACTGCGAAACAAATATTTAGATTGTGATTCTAACAAAAAGCCATAATTGACACGGGTCGGTCCGGGTTTCCCGTAATTTTTTCTCCTGTCTTTTCAATAAAAAAATGTGGTAGTCATCCAAAAAACATCAGTAAAACTTCTGGCAAGTCGAAGCTTTGCAAAAAGGAGTGTCCTTAAAAATTATATTTTTACAACAAAAAATTGAAAATTTGTTGAAATTTCAAAATTTCCTTCAGATGTGAAAAACCAGGGCCTGAATTTTCGAGTACGCAAAAACCCACCGTTTCGCAAAGTTCCATAGTTGTTTCGAAACAGTTTCCGCATACAAATAGTTAGAATATTTCGTTTCATTCAATAAAATATATGTTCTGTCTGATCTCGGCAGATTATTTATTTTTAATAATCAATATTAGAGAATTAGAGAAAAAAAAGTGCAATATTATGTGTCCATTTTGTTTGCATAGCATGTAAATTGATAACAAAAACTGTCATTTTGAATTTAGAAAATGAAGAAGTGCGCTCTATTGGATTTTGCAAGCTGTGTAGAAACCTTTGAAAAAGTTTAAAAAAAGGTCTCAAGAAAACCGGAAAAATCCATAAGATCAAAAACCAAGAAGAATAGAGGACTTCCCCCGTCCTTTGACCGTATCTCAAGTCTCCATCTGGTCCCGCCTGTCATCATAAAATTCAGAGAATGTACCAGAAATGTACCCAAAGAAACATTTATTCGGTTGTGTCACAGTAGTCGTCAAGTCATAAAAGTCATAAATCAAATATCAATGTTTAGAGCTATCCGAATGAACGGTGTCCTTCATCTCTCGTGTCTCTACGTCTCTCACTAGTTTCGGAATCTCATCCAACAATAAAGGAGTGTTCATTGATCGGCCGTGTTTCTCGAATGCACGTCTTCCGGCCGTTCGGACTAACCAACTCGAGGAGATTCCGGCTTCGTGGTGCGCTGATGTCCAGTCGTCACCGAGATTTCTGGAACAACAAATTTAGGAGATTTTCAGATTGTTAAATTTTAAGCTTCTGATTTTTTTTGAATCTAGAGATTTCGAAACTTCTGGATTCTGAACTTTTGATTTTTTTTTTAATTGAGAAACTGTGAAACTGTATGATTCTAAGATTTTAAGATTCTAAGATCCTAAACTTTTAAGATCCTTGAAATCCGGGATTTTTAGATTAAAGGGGGACTCCGACCAAAAATTTTTATTGCATTAAAATGTGTTAAAAGTTATCTATTTTCCGAATATTATTGCGAAAAAATTCAAAAAAAATCCGAAATTCCCAAAAAACGCCGTTGAAAAGGAAGAAAATTCAAAAAAAGGTGCCGCCGGGGGACGAGGATTTCCAGTGAGAAACCTAGGCCACGGCAGCGGGCGCCTTTCCTATGTGGCAAATTTTCCGGATTTTTTTTCAATTACATTTTCAATTCCTAAAAACTAAATTGCAAAATTTAAGCCACCACTTCAAAACGACCTAAAAATACACCAGGGACATGTAGGGCCATTCGCTTTTTCACCATGGTGGCCTAAAAACCAAACTAGTGAAAGTTAGGCTACCACTTCAAAATGAAATATTTTGTCGAGGGATTTCTCGAATTTTTTTTGAGTTTTTAAAGATTCTTGAATTTTAAGATTTCTAAAAGAACCTCAAGATTCCAAAATTCAGGGATTCTTAGTTCCTGGAAAAAGAATTCTGTAACTGGCAAAAAATCCAAGACTTCAAGATTCGGATTGCTCACTTTTTGGCCCAATACAAGAACAATCCCAGTGATCCAGCAGTGACATCTCCCTGACCTCCACATCTCCTCAAACTCGAATCCGTCGAGCATTTAGAAACTGCAAATTCAAAATTTTCAAATTCTCAATAGAGCGCATTATCTTACCTTCGCCATTAGGAGTGACAACCAAATCAACCTCCCCTTTCATATAAATCGTCACATCCATTTTTCTGCTCAACTCGGCTGCCAAATGTTGTAATTGACTGCTACTCTTCACATTCAACACGTCTTCTTCCCCAAGTGCCGATTTACAAAGTCTCGAAAATTCAACAATATTAGGTGTGAGTACTGTGGTGACCATTTGTCGTGGGAAGTGCTCAATGTGCTCCGACACAAACCACAGACCATCCTGAAAAGAATTTTGTTGTTTTATAGAATTTCTAGTGACCTAGATTACTCCATCAATCACAAATGGCACTTTCTCATTCTTCACAAAGTTAAAAATTTCTTGAAGCAACGGCCAAAGTGTTGGATTTCGTCCTAATCCTGGTCCAACCACAATCGCATCCATTCGATTTAATTTTGGAAGAATCGAAGAAGCATTCATCCCGGGATGAACAATTAGATCCGGTGAATATCCTTTGATAACTGGAGCCGCGTCTGGAGCGCAGAAGACGTGGATGAGATCGGCGCCGAGGCGGGAGACCGAAGACGCAGCATAGTAGGGGGCGCCCGTGTATTCCAAAGAGCCTCCGATTACAGCGATTTTTCCGCAATCACCCTGAAAAAAATGCCCATTTTTTAGAAATATCGCTGATTGCTACAGTACAAAAAACTTCTGAAAATCGAAACATAAAATTCCAAAAATCTTAAAACTTACACTTCCTTCATTATTATTTCATTTAGATCATAAACGTACTACAAAGACAACTACAGTAGTCTAAATTTTTTTAGGGATCAATTTTTTAGTTTTAGTGAAAAACTTAACGAACAACACACGAAAATCGAGATAAAAATACGGAAAGTAAAAATATTCATAGGTTACTGTAGTTGTCGTTGTGAGACCTTCCACAACTCCGATTTTGCGGACCAGAATAATATATAATTGAGTTTTTTGCTTTTTTATGTTTTCTTGTTTTTTTTTCTTGTTCAAAAACAGACTCTAACAAATCCAAGTGAAGAACCAAAAATTCGAAAGTTCGGTTTTTGAAAAATCGTATTTTTTAATTATCAGGCAACATTCTTTTTGCTCTTTTGAAATTTAGAATTAATCCGAAATTTCGATTTCTTGAACTTTTGGTTTTTTTTAGAAATTCACCGTATTTTATGGTTTCCCAGATAACTTTCCTTTTTTCTAAACTTTTATAAGTTATAATTCAAAAATTTTAGTTCCCTCGCTTCTTGTACTGTGCGCACACCATGATGCACCATGACGAAAAATTGCACTGAAAACATGTCATCTGACGAGCAAACTTTTTTTTCAAGTTGAAAATTTCAAGGATCATCATTGATCAAGAAAATCGTTTTTTTTTTATTTTTGAGCACAAAAAAAAAGAAAAAAAAAATTTTTTTCCAATTGTTTACTGGAAACTTTTTTCCCACAAGAGCTATAAAACTTGAGCGAGAGCGAGACGCACACACGGGCTCTTCCTATAATTAGCTTCATTCTGCTTTTTCCTTTTTTCTGGAACTTCTCAAAAAAAGTTTTCCTTACCTTTCTCAACTGCGGCGTCAGTTTTGGTAAAAGTTTCAGGAAGTGATCCATATTTTTTTTCTACAAAAAATCGCAAGTTTAAAGCAGTTTCAATCGAAGAAAAAATATCAACGGAAATTCATTTTTTTCTGAAACAACGAGAAAAAAAAATCGAAAAAGGGAAGAAGGAAACTCGAAAAAAGGCTTCATATAAGTGGAAAAGAGGGGAAGATAATCCGAGTAATTCATTATAAAACGACGTGTCGGGCAGCCGCGCCGTCTGTCACTCTATCAAAGTAAGAAAGAGAAAACGACTGAAAAAAGATAGAAAAAGAGAGAAAAAACTAGATAGCTAGAGATAAAAAATACATGCAAAGAGTGGTGTTCAAATCAAATGTGATACAGAATATAACAGAAATAACAAGAGAAAATAAGGGGCGGGGCTTAGGAAATTGAAACTCTATCTTCAATTTCCCGCCTTCTTCACTGGGAATGGGGTGGTTGGAAAACAAAAACTCGTATTTAGAAATCTTCTATTTACAGGAAATTATATGTACAGACGACGTTAGTTTAGTTTAGTATTCATTTAGAAGAAGACGTCGAGGAGGAGTGTGGCTTTGCAAAGTACTGAAAGACGGCCTGCAAGAAGAAAGAAATGAGTTAGGCGGCACAATGAAAATGGGCGGGGCTTACTTGGAAGTAGTTGGACCCGTCTTTTGGTGACGACGGAGGGGTGGATTCGAACGATGTGGCACTGGAGTTGGAAGCATCAGATGACCTAGAAATTGGAATTTATGGGATTTTCTAGGTCATGGGGAGTTTTTTAAGCCACCGAAATGGAATTTTAGTTGGAGTGTTGACAAATTGGGGTTATTCAGAAGATTGAAATTTTGACAAAAAATTAAATATTTTTTCTTAATTTCTTAAGTTTTTCGAAAATTTGAGATACAAGCGTTTTGTTCAGCCGAGCGCGATTGCGCAACGCCATTTTTTTGGTGAAATTTTCAGACATTTTGAGGTTTTTCAACTATTTTTGAAGATTTTTTTAACGATTTCCGAATTTTTTGTCGGAAATTTGACGATGTGGTATTC